CCGCGCTGGCTGCTGTGCTGTGGTGTCTGCAACCAAACCCACAGGATCTCCGAGGCCCCAGTTCCCCTTTCATTACCAAGTCACATCCGTTCTATGGACACACCGCCCTTTATCCCAGTTAGTTTATCATGAGAAGAATAAAGACTATAGAAGACTCTCATCCTCTACCAACGCCCCCGCCGCGTCTCCATCACCCCTTCCGCCTGGGCCAGTGGTCGGCAAACTCATTAGTCAACAGAGCCAAATATCAACAGTAAAACGACTGAAATTTCTTCTGAGAGCCACATTTTTTAAACTTAAACTATATAGGTAGGTACATTGTTATTCACTTAATTAGGGCACTCCTAAGGCTCAGGAAGCGCCACACTCAAGGGGCCAAAGAGCCGCATGTGGCTCGTGAGCTGCAGTTTGCCGACCACGGGCCTAGGAGCACGCATGCGCTCTAGGGTGAGCCCTCTACTCAAACCCGAGTCCCCACCCTCTCACCCAAGTGAGCCATCAACCCGGCAAGTGTTTCCCTCTTGCACCAGAAATTCCCTCTGCGCGTTTCCAATCACAGAGACGGTCAGTTCACCCACCTCCTAGATGTGAGAACAAAACTCCCTCGCCTGCTTCTCCCTTCAGCAACCGTCCTCTTCGTCCCCACATACAGACCTCAGATGCCCAGACCCGCCTCTTCTCTTCATCTTGGCTCCCCTGGCCTCTCCGTAATGGGGCTCTGGGGCCAGCACGCCAGGGAAACCCTCCTCACGGTCGCCCAGACTCCTCCCGCTCAACCCGCTGTCCCGTCACCCTTTGGCCCAACAGCTGAGTTCCCTCCGACCTGGGGGCTCTCTGCTTGGCCCCTGCCCCCTGCCCCCTGCCGGGCCCGTGTCCTTCAGGTTCGGCGCGGGTGTGGGAGCACCACCTCCACCCCAGCTCTGCCTCGGAGCGGTGACGTGGACAGGCCCCTCGCTCTGCAGCCTCGGTTTCTCCGTCTATAGAGTGGGAGTGCGGGGCTACCGCACACGGTCAGGCTTTCATGACTGAGGGACACAGCTCCTTGCGCGGCGCGGCAGGTACGGACCGTTAGTGCTCAGTGGCTCCAACTGCGCACAGCGCTGGACCCCCTCCCCTGCCCGCTACCTGCCCCGCAGGCGGCCGTGCAGCCAGGGCTGTTCCCTCACCATGTGCCCGAGCACCCGTCACACCACCCGGCACTGGAACCTGCTACCCTCAGGCACCCACTGCTCCCCCATTCCTGCCCCTCCCGGAGTGGCACCGACATCCCACCAGCTCCTCAGCCAGGAACTCTGGTGACTCATCTCTCGCCCCTGGATTTAAGTTATGAGCAATTCTACGGCCCCATCTTCAAAATAAATTCAGACCCAACACCCCCCGCCTCACTGCACCCCCCGAGTCTCCACCTCGTCGGCGGCAGCGTTCACACTGGTCTCCTCCACGCGCTATCCACCTTGCCGGCCTGTTTTCCATGGAACAGCCACGGGAACCCTTAAATGCCGAAGGGACGACCCTGTTCAAACCCCGGCTTCCCCTCACACCCGCAGCCAGGTCCTCGCCCCTTTTCTAAACTCGGCGCCCGGCGCCCGTCCTCCGTCCCCAGGCTCACTGCCGCTGTGGCCCCTCAGACAAGCTGAGCGCCTCCTCCATCAGGCCCTCTGCTGCTGCTCTACCCGAAACCCTCCCCGTGTTCAGCTTGTCCCTCTATCGCGTCTCCACAGCCCTCCTCACCCACCGTGTAAACAGCGTCCCACCAACGGCTCCCTGCTGCCCTCTCTTCACAGCGTCATCTCCGGGAGAAGGGACTGACTCGTCACCCACGTCCCTCCAGGACCACGGTTCCAGGAGATGGGCCGTGGCCGGCCCACGACAGGTGTTAACAGGTACACGCTGAGTGTGCCATGGACGGTGGTGGTGGAGGCAACGACCCAGCTCGAGGGGAAGGCCAGGCCTCGCCCAGGGCAGCAAGGCCCCCCCACAGCCCCACAAGGCCTGGGCCTGGAAAGGCTGCGTGTTCCTCACAACCCCGTGGCTGGCCCGGCGGCAGCGCCCCCTGTTCTGAGTTGATCCAACAGAATGACACTGTGGCATTTCGCACGAACCTAACACGGAATTCCCGCTCTCCCCCGAGGCCCGGAGATCCCAGGTCAGGCTGCGGGTTCATCGTGCCCTTCACTCCGCACGTCAGAAGTCGGAAACAGTACAACCCATGGTTCGCCTTCTTTGCCTGGATTTACCAATTAATACGTTTAAGGCATATTTGACTCCCAGGCATTTCTATAGAAGGCACAGACAGAAGAATGAGGAGCTAAGTTTTAAAGAATTAAAGCGCATTTTAGATTATATGAGATTATTGTTTGGATTGTCCTTAGAATGTTAAATTTTTAAGAGAAATTTGAGTTTTCGATAATTATAATGCAGTATACTGAGATCTATTTTTAGCATAAGGTACACTATTGATTAAAATCTAATGCATGAGAAGCAGAATGTTAAATAAAGAGAAATCCAAGACTATTATCACTTTAAAATGACTCGGGTTTTGTACGAAATAATGTGCGACAGGTTTTGTCCGCTCATTCCCCTGTGCTCCCTGCGCTGCTTTCTGGAATCCCACTGCAGTAATCGCTACTTACGATGATCAGCAAAGCATCACCGCTCTGACTTCAATGGAGGAGCTGCGCCACCAGAACGAAGAAGCTTGACGTACACAGTGAACCCACCCCGGATGGCTGTTTGCACTGTCGGCGGGCAAAACAAATCTTACCTGAAGTTCTTCACGGCAACAGCCGTCTAACAAAGCTGCCA